GCGTTTGCACGTGCACGCTTGCACGTGTGCACGTTTACGTGTGTGCGTGTGTGGGTGCGTGTGTGTCTGTGTGGGTGACTGTGTGTGTGTGTGTGTCTGTGTGTGTGTGTGTGTCTGCGTGTGTCTGTGTGTGTCTGTGTGTGTGTCTGTCTGTCTCTGTGTGTCTGTGTGTGTGTGTGTGTCTGTGTGTGTCTGTGTGTGTCTGTGTATGTCTGTGTGTGTGTGTGTCTGTGTGTGTCTGTGTCTGTCTGTGTCTGTCTGTGTCTGTGTGTGACACCCTGTCACCGAGGGCACAGGTATACAGCAGGAAGCCAGCGGAGGGGCAAGTAAGATGAGTGCATTCAGCGAAGACCGCGACCTCATGTACCTGTCCTCTCGTGTAAACATACCTGCGAAATGATGCAAAGATCAGAAAAGTGCTGAGTGCAAGTCGGATAAGATCCAAAGAATGAAAAGGAAGAGATGAGAAGATGACTCTAGCTTGCTAACCCAAGCTATCATTTCGATCATATTGACATCAAGGGTCAATCCAAGTGCGAGTCTGTGTCCTGCGTGTGTGGGGCGTGTGTAAAGTCGTGTGGCCCACAGTGCTTTTTAAGATGTCATGTGTCATCTGTTATCATGTGGCATGTGGAGTATGCGAAGGTCCTGCCTTTGCAGTAAAGGAGGCATCTTTCCGCATCCAATAAACAGAAATTGAAACAAATATAGAGGGAGGACGTGCTGCGAACGGCCATGAGCTCGGCGAGGATATCTGCATGGCGTGCCTCACAAGGTCATGCATGGCAGGGCCAAAGAAGCGGAACAATCCTGGTTCTGTATGTTGTCCTCTTTCCTGCGCTCGAAACCAAGAGTCACCCAAGCGATGACAGAGGCGCATCGGAGTATGTCACAGTATTGCAAGGCAGACCGGGTGAGCTAAACGCTTCCTCGACTGCAGCTACAGAATGGCAGTAAGCCGATACTCGAAGCTGCAAAGGCCTTACAGAAAAGAAGCCAATATTACTTCGAATCAAATCACTTGACCAGCAGATCGGGTTTGACATGTGTCGGGACTTCACAGCTGCAGCGATTGACTACAATACCTTGCGCGGAAAGGAGATGATGCTGATGCAAATGGCACAGCATCAAGCCATGCTGTGCTGGCGCACAAACCTACACGAGTCTTGGTGTGAAACAGTGTTTTTTCTGAACGATATGAGTTCAGAGTTCGCCAACCCGTCACAAGATGGTTCAGACGGCGGGTGCGTCGCTCTCACCTGCTCTTTGCAAGCAAATCGCTGCAGGGTTCTGGAATCCGCTGAATGCCCAGTATCATGCCGAAATGTAGCCGGGAAGTTTAATGACAGCTCGCTTGCAAGGTCTGCTCGATTTCTCGTGGAGTCGGCGACACTCTACACATGTCCACCGGCTGCAGTGACTATAGAGCACTAGGCGACTTCACATTGCGGATGCGATGCTTACAGCTGCTTCTGCGCCCGAAGCAGTGGTTGGATGACAATTAAATGACAATGTAGCCAACAATCTTTATATAGGCAAGTTGTAACCAGGGAGCCATGCAACGATGTGACCGCCCTACATCGTTCGTGCAACCCCCCCACACGCGCACTCACACACACACAACGTGAATCACTTCACATCACAGTTGGCCATGCTGTTAAAGAAAATACTACTGATTATGTGGAATTTGGAGATCCCTCAATACTGCAGACTGTGCAGATGAGCGCATGGAACACCCATAAATTCACATCCGGGCCTGCCATCTGGCCTAGCTGCACGTTCGCTGGACTCGCTGTGTCAGCTGCATGAGGTGCTGCATCTGATCGACAGGCGGTCAACCAGATGTCTTTGCAGTTTCTTCACTTCCTATGTGGAGGCTTCTGTGATGAGCATGGCTTGCAAGTGGCCAGAAAGGATCACAGTCTCTTGTTAGCCTGCAGGGGCGGCGGCAGCGTTCCCACTCTCTGTGTCGAGCAGTGCCTGGACCAGGTCCTGGCCAGAATCCGTTTCCGTCTGCACACTGCGACTTGCCCATGGCAAACCCCACCAGGCGGCACAGCGGACAACGACGGCCACAACGCAGCCAGTGAAGGAGGCAGTCCTCTCGGTCTCCCGGTGATACCCAGTTATCAGGGCGCAGCTGAGCAGCTGTGTCTTGAGACTGGGGACAATGCCGCAAACCACTGGCCATGACATGTGCACTGTGCGAAAAATCGTGGGCCCACGTCCTCGTGAAATGCATGCTGGCATGGCAGTGCCTTCCAGCTGCTGCCATCGGCAGCATCCGTCTCGAGGCAGATGGCGCATTCAGTGCCAGGCTCCACCGTCACAGCCGGGGCCTCATGCAAAAAGCGGTGCAAATGGAAGCTGCAAACATACTCAAGGATGAGTCGAGTCTGCAACAACTAGCGTGCAGCAGGCACCTCCGCGATGGAGTTAATCACTGTCTCCAATGCCGGACCCGACGAGTCCCACATCCTTAGCAGATGTGTCTTGGATGAAGCCTCATCATATCTTCGACCAGGCCAGGAAGTTGATTCAGTTTGCGGCCGACGAAGGCTCGAAACACGATACCTGCATAGAATGGCATAGAAACGGCGCCAAAAGCAGAAACGAGATGGACGTAAGTTGGTTCTCAACAAGGCATTCGCTGGCGCTGGCCTAAGCACCATAAGCGACAGCGTCAGCAGCAGCATCGCGATCGCTGTCCACAAGCTGCGTTTTTGGATATTCAGGACGAAGACATGCCTGAGCCCAACATGTCTGCCAAGTCAGGTGCAACCACTGCCTTTGCTGTTACACTAAACTAGATATGTATAGACATCGCAAAAGGAGGAACCCGTTGGGATCCTCTCCGTGCCAAAGGGCAAGTCCGGAGCCTTCTTCCAGCACGCGGCAGACTCCGAAGCCTGGGTTGCCCACTTCGGTCGCAAGCCTGCTCTGAGCTGTCACTCTGTTGAGGCCAGGCTCTACGAGAGGATCGCCGTAGATGGCATAATAGAGGACGACCGGAACGGCCACCATGTACATACAAGGAACCTTGAAAACACGCTTCCGGTGCACTCTCGCACACTGCCTGAGGATAGCGTGAATCTTGGAAAGTAGGCCAGGCAGCCGCGGTCAAAGCCAAGAGATACACGAGTAACCTCGTTGTCCAAGGCGGGCATCCAACAGGTTAGCTTTGCTAAACCTGTCGAGGCTAGTACAGCCACTGCTCCGGATGCAGGCGAGCAACCATTGCCCCACACCCTGCACAGACACGCAGCCAGCTGCTCATCGTAAACCGCAATCAAAAAGGATGAAAAAGAACGATAAAGCAAATGATTCCGACAAAGATCTTGACAATGGCGATGTACTAGCGCTAACTCTTACTTACAAACGCCCGCACCGGCCTCGCAGACCGGGGGAAGACCAATCAGCAAATGGTACCAGCCCTCAACCCAGCACCACAGCTGCAGTGCGCCTGGGCAAGGCGAACCAGTGCGCTAAGGCACCTGTATTGCGCTATGCTCTACACCCCGACTTTACCTACGTTACATCATGCTGCACTTCAGCGTGCGACTCCACTGCCCGATGCCCGAGACACAGTTAGGTGCAGTTAGAAGACAAGTGGTGTTGCTCCTAGGTGTGTGTTTGCCGAAGAACTGGCCTGCAGCAAAAAAGGACACGACGGCCACCAGAAGCGGGATGCGGAGGCGTCGGGCCTTCCGGCCGTGAAGCTGCACAAGGCGATCTGAAAGCTGAGAACGGCACAAAGCACGAGAAGCCCGGAGGAACAATGATCAGAAACCTGCTCTGGGCGCATGCACGAGCACAGCATCGAGCTCGTGAAATTGAAGCCAACGAAGTCATATCGCAAAGCTTGCACAGGAAGACTGGGCACCAGTGTGATTCGGGTGCTGGTGAACAGGGCTGACATGCAGACCTACGTACATGTATCCGGATGTGGATCTTGAGGCACGACTTCCGCTTCTTGAGACGAATGTTTGAGCTTCGGGAAGAGAGGCATACATGCAGCGATGAAAGGAGAGCATGTTGCTGTATGTGCATGTGTGTCCCTGGAAGAATGCCTGGGTCCGCGCCAGCAGCGGCAGCGGATCGGGCAGATTGAGGCCCATGGTGGGAAGCCTTCGAAGCTTCAGATGCACATACTCGAGCCCTACTGTCGGCTGACGCTTCTCTCCGCAGTCGTGCAGAACAAGTCACCATCGAAGCACAATCCCGTCACAAAGCACCTCGCACCTGGATGGTGGGTTTAATTAACGTGTTTCCTTTAAATCGGCAGCAGTATGTATGCAAAGAAGGCATACATCTTCGGTTTTGTCCAGGTTGATGTAACGAGCACACTCAAGCCTCGAAGTTTGGATTTATTTGTGGATATTCACGGATTTGTGGAACTTCACGGACGCGAACAGACAGCTGCTGTGATCTCAGTTTCTTGGTGCTGTCCGTGGTGCGCACGGCATGCAACGCAGCGACAGCGGCTAATCGGCTGCTGCTGTTCCATAGCCCGCCAAAAGTGCAAATGGCGCAAAGATCTGATCAAATCTGAGGTTCCGAGCTGAATGGCACGGAAGTGACATGATGCTTGCTCGGCTGCATGCCCTTGACTGTCGCTGTTGCATGCTGTTGCTACATGTTCTGGAAGGTCCTTTCCAAGAAGGGTAGCGGAACGAGGTGGCACGCGCACCACCAAGGCCAAAGCGGAGCTTCCAGGCATCACCGGACACAGTTTGCAGGACAGTAGATTCAGAGCATGACAGGTACAGTACCAGGTCACCAGCCTCGATCGCAGATAGCCACGGGGAGTCCTGATCAGGGACACCGAGAAGCCAAGCCCGAGCTACGAATGCATGGAACGGCAGGGCCATGAACAGATTGTCTGTCTTTCGAGGTTTGGTTGCTGCGGCTCTTCTGCACCAGCTCCGCTGGCACTGACCCATCAGGCAAAGAAGTCCTCCCGTTGCCAGACAGGGCTGCTGCGCAGGCCCGGAACCTGAATGAGCATGCTCACGCATTGCTGGGAAGTAATGACAGAAACTCACTCCCCACGAAGGCCGAGTCGATCGGCAACTTGCCCCCACATTCTGCATGACTGTGAGGGAGACTGATGGGTGTGTGAAGTGTCCGCTCTGCATTTGACCAGAACTCTGGTTGAGTGAGTCAGTGAGTGAGTGAGTGAATGAGTGAGTGAGTGAGTGAGTGAATGAGTGAGCGAGCGAGCGAGTGAGTCTTCACCTGCTTGCGTGAGGCAGTTGCCCGTCTTTGTGTATGTGATAACCGGTGTGCTTGCTTACTTGCTTGAGTTATGATCGTTTGCACGTGCACATTCTAACTGAGTAGTGTCTGTGTCTGTGTCTGTGTCTGTGTCTGTGTCTGTGTCTGTGTCTGTGTCTGTGTCTGTGTGTGTCTGTGTGTGTGTCTGTGTG